AAAAACTGATTTAAAAATAGTTATTTGAATGAAATTTTTTTTAAAAAAGAATTAAAAAAAAGAGGAGGAAGAGAAAGAATGACACAGAAAGAGACGACAAAGAAGAAGAAAAATAAAAAAAGAAGAGGAGGAAGAGAAAAAGGGCAGAGAAAGAGGCGAAGGAAGATAAACAATACAATTTTTTAATTCTAAAAAAATGTTATATTTAGTTAGAAAAATTATATTGCTATAGATGGTAAATATTTTTGTAATATTGCATATTTATGTGATTTACCCATTCATGAATATACTCATATACACATGGTATATAGGACATACACGAATATATATCTAATGTAATATACACTGATATGCATGTATAAGGCTTTAGATCTACCTCAATTTTCAATCTAAAATTTAGCTCAATTCTGCCTCAAGTCAATATCTAAACACCTCCGAAATTAATTTCAAACTCCGTAAGACGTTTTCATCACCTTACTAAAAAATAATCCTTATCTACAATGATTAGATGAGGATTTGAAAACCTCATTCGATACAAATCTCCTTTCCATTATTAATTTGAACTTAAAGAAAACATTTCGAAAAATTCATCCATTGAGTGTATGATAATCTACCCCCCCCCCCCCCCCCCAAAAAAAAAAAAAAAGTATTTCATCAATTTCAACATAAGAATTCAGATATAAAGATAAGACATTCGGAGAGAAAATTTGAAAAGGTATTTGGATAAAACCTTTAGAAGAGAGATTTGTTTTTGAAATTGTACAATTATTTTAACGGGTTTAGTTCTAGCATATGAAATACTAATCTTTTAGCATGAAATATGAATATAGTTATACTATCGGGTGCCAATTTCGTTAACTTAGATTATTTTATGAGCCCATTTAGTGAGCTAAGTTACCATATGATGCCATTAATTAACTTTCCAAAATAAAATGGAATAGAATCCAACATAATTGGGCCAGACCTCAGCGAATATGGGCTAACAATTGCATATGACCTTACTTTATGAGAAGAATGAAGCCCTTTTTATCATGTTTTGCCTTATTTTAAAGTGGTTTTTAATTTCTGCTAGTGGTCTTTGATTTTTGTAACCCGTTACTTATTTTGTAATAATGCACCATTCTCTCAAAAATATGAATATGAGTATGCCTCTGACGATAGGAGTTACATATTGTCAGGGATTAATACAATTCAAATAGGCATTGATGGATTGAGATACATTGTGCACTCCTAAACTTACTCATCTTAGCAATTTAGAATAAGGTTGCAGTGTCTAAAACTTGCTGGGAACTAGAAGGATCACCGTTGGATATGTTGTATTCATTTATACTATATTAAGGATATTTCTTTTTATAGAAATGAGAGTCCCACAACAAATACTTACTATGTGGCTTCAAATGCATGGAAGAATACTTATTTTTGCCATCAATTCGGTGTAAAAGTCATTGAGCATGTTATTATCGTGCAACCTAATTTGATAAAATTTATTATAAATTCAAGTATAAAAAAGAAGAAGTATAAAATACAAAGTGGAGGAGCACTTGAATTTTCAAAGTGATGTTAGCTAGGTTATATAAAATTTTGATGATTGACAAAGTGACATGAAACGGGTAAGTCAAGCTAGTTCACAGATACATACAATTTCAAGGAGCTGAATCCGTAACAAGATCATATATTAGTAAAGACAAGTGTACAAAAATCAATGAACGAATAATGGTTACTTCTGATTAAGTCAAGGAAACAAACATGTGTTGAATTGAAGAGTTGTGCTTAAATAGAAGTGCAGTCACTCAGAACAAGGTGTGCATTCACAGAGCAAAAACAATTAGCAAATTGACTGCCCCAATGTTGTTTGAATATTGAAGGAACACATTGAAGAACCAGGTCCTAATGTAGAGTTAGGCTAAAAGTTTTAGCGTTCATGTATTAGGAGTTGTTCATTGAGTGTAATATTGATGTAATCTTAGTTTTAGTGTGTTATTTGATTATAGTCTTCAAGTTGGGATAACTTAAAGACTTGAGAACATATATCTTGAGAGGTTTGTGAGTTATTAAGAATTAGAGTTCACAGTTTTTTATGTTACATATGTTTGTAATCTCTGATTGAAAGGCTCATTATGGTTAAATAAAGTTGTGGTTAAATGTTGTAGATGTACATGTTGTGATTTTTACATCTTTTGTGAGCCGGATATTTTTACAGAAAAATAATGTGTTCTTTATTTAGTGTTTTTACTATTTTGTTGAAGCACATTAGCCAAGATACTAGTTAGTTATGGGACAATAAGTAGCGTGAGGAAGTTTCTCTTGTGGAATTTGGTTTAGAATTAAAAAAAGATTAGCATTAATAGGATTATTTAGAGTGACAAGAGAGAATCATTCAAAATGGTAAACGTCACTTACGGAGCTAAAAAAAATCCTTACGTAGATATCTTTCCATCTAGAAAGTGATTGAAAAACAAATCTAGTAATGTTAGGTGCAACAACTTTAAATCATCACAAAGAAAAAGTGGACTGAAAAAGAATAATATAAAGGAGGTTTCATGATTTGGTTGAGAAGAATAAATATATTTATTTTATTTGTTATTTTGTTATACCAAACAAAGATTTAAATTTATTTATTTAAAAAAAAAAGGAAAAATGTCTAGTTGAAGACTCTTTCTTGCAAATTTCAACAATAACTTATTAAGGTAAAAAAATAACACACATGAAATTGAAATGTATCTTCATAAGTCATCACTAAATAGAAGTGGTTGGTTAGTAATACATTCATCTCTTACAACAAATATTTGTCCAATTATAGTAAATTAATATGTAGTCAAATTTCAGCAGTAACTTATCAAAGGAAAAAAAAAATCTATCACACATTCAATGTATCTTCATATATAATGTGATCATATTATCCGTGAACATATTAAACGATATAATAAAGAAATAAAATTTGTAAATATCGATATTGTACTTCAAGTAGACTATGATATTATTTGTATTCATAATTTATTTTTCACAATTTTAATAAAGTAATGACGAGTAAATAAATAGAATTTAAAGAGGACACAATGGGAATCTGTATATCTATTATTAAAAGTCAAGAGAGAAAACAAACTTTATGTATTTAATTATCTTAGAGTCAATTAACTAATTGTATGTTAATATGATGGTTAGGTGAAGAAAACATATTATAGTGGTATAAAATATGAAGAAAGAAAATGTTTGACAATTGTCTTGTTCAGTAAAGCAGCCAGTAAACCAACTAATTTCCCACATGTTAAGTGGCCTACTCTCCACTTTTTTTAGTGGACCTTGTGCTTCACTAACTTTTTTTACAAATTATATTATTCTTTTACCATAAGCATTTTTAATCCAAAAAGTAAACACAAAAAAATAGTTAAAAAACAAAAAGATAATAACTATACATACCACCAACTCACATATACAGGAAGCAACTGTGCACAATGGAAGAAGGAAAAGGAGCGACCCACTACTACTTCGTTCAGTCAAGAACGTGAGATAAAAAATAATATTACTAGTAATTAACAGTTTCAAAATTAATTTTTTAAAACTGAATAAGGTTTAAAATACATTTCTTAAACAAAAATAACTACTTATAAGTTTTAGCTTTCATAAAATGTAAAATTAATTAGTAACCTGAAAAATAAGTGCGATTCTATGAAAAAATTCTTAGATGTTCAAAATTTGTTTAAATTTCCAAAGGTCATACTCCCTTCGTCCACTTTTATTTGTTATGTTGCACTTTTCGAAAGTCAATTTGACTAATTTTCCGAGTTAAATTAGATTACATTAATTTGATATTTTAAACAAAAAAATTAGATATTCAAAAATTATATGAAAAGTACTATAAATTGCATCTTTTTTATTATCAATATGATAAAAAATACATCGTGAATTGTTAGTCAAAGTTTTTATAGTTTGACTCTAAAAAGGGAAATTATGACAATTAAAAGTGGACAGAGGTAATATTAATTATTGGGGTAAAATGAGAAAAAATTAATAATTCTATCTTTATTTAGTAAGTGATAAAATAATATGAGACAAATATTTTTAATAAGATATCCATCTTAATTATATATGCATATAGCAAAAAAATTCAACAAAATCGTGTCACGTGACACCCCTTAGGCCTTACTAGATCCACCCCTGGTAAGAATCTGTGTCAAGCATCAAACTGTAGCTTAAGTGCTAACGTGTGAATCAAGTTGATAACAGGCCATTTCAAAATCAAAGGTGGATTTGCTAAGATATTTGAGGATAGTTCTTAATTTTTAAATTTTTTCTTATTTAGAGGTTTGTATTTGGTAGTTGTCACTGATTGTGGAGTGTATTTCAAGTTTTTTCCTTTTTTTCAAAAGGTGATTGTATGTCTAGCTTTTTGCCCTAAAGGCTGAAATTCACATCGGAAGAGCTAAACCCGAGAAGGGACACTTTTATGTTTTTTGTAATGGAGGAGTGTAGTATGGGATAGAGGGAGCGATATATACTTCATCTATCTCCATTTATATGATTACTTTTCTTTTTAATCAATAACAAAAAGAATAACACATTTCTATATTTAATAACAATTTAAGCTTTAAAATAAACTGGAACAGAAAGAGTACTCAACATTTGAATAAAAGAACTATTGAATTTAGGTGAACCACTACATTACCACTACTAGAAAGAAAAAAAAAAAACTAGCTATATAATTTATCCAGCCATAAATAGATCCTAGCTAAATTTTCTTATAATCCGTCCACTAATTTATAACTAAATGAGATTAGCATAAATTATTTTTTTTGTTAACTACAAAATTTTAAGTGTCATTAATTTCACTTTGTTTTTTAAAGTGGGGTATACTTTCGCCTTTGCATATGGCTACCAATAGAATACCACTATGCAATTGAAAAAAAACAAAACAAAAACAAAAACGAATGAGAAGCAGACACATTAATAATTCAACCAATATTCCCACCAAGAAAACAATGATGACCAATCTTTGACAAAACAACAATTCTTGGTTTGATACTTATAAAAGGGTACTCTAACCCCATTATACATCATCTTGAGGCCTAACAAAACACTCCAAAACATCAACTCTTAACTCATATTTCTTGTTCATCTCTAAGGCTTTTTCAGCCATGGGATCCACAGCAAATATCCAGTTACCAACACAATCCGAAGACGAAGAGCGTAATTGCACGTACGCCATGCAACTACTCTCATCGTCAGTGCTTCCCTTCGTGTTGCACTCAACGATCCAGTTGGATGTTTTTGAGATACTCGCAAAAGATAAAGCCACTAAACTATCTGCTTTAGAAATTGTGTCTCACATTCCTAACTGTAAGAACTCTGATGCCGCTACCATGCTAGACCGGATGCTTTATGTCCTAGCTAGTTATTCTTTACTCGATTGCTCTGTTGTTGAGGAGGGAAATGGGGTGATGGAAAGGCGCTATGGTCTGTCGGGAGTGGGGAAATTTTTTGTACGTGATCAAGATGGTGCATCAATGGGGCCATTGTTGGCTTTGCTTCAAGATAAAGTATTCATTAACAGCTGGTCAGTTTTGTCTTTTTACTGCGGCAATCTTACCTTTTTTTTTTATCACAAGACTCTTAAATTTCAACCAAATTTTTATCGTGTCAATTGTATGTGGTCCATCCTAGTATAACCAAACAAATTCAGAATATATTAGAGCTTTTGTGTCGAACCATCCAGTATCCAAAACTCACTAGGCCGACTAATGCAAATCCATGATGCATAGGGCCTATTACAGAGTGAATGGCTCCATTTCCTAGCTCGAATTGGAGATTTCTAATTAAGTGTGAAGTGATCTCATATATATGATACAAAGTTAACACTAACTTAGAGAAATCATGAGACTAATGGAATTTGTGAGTTAATTACAATTATCATGTTAACAAATACATCATTCAAGTTAGCATATAAATTGCTAAGAGAACACTTTTGCATGAGCCTATGTCCACTCAATTGCCAAAGATCACGGGTACAATATAATTTCAAGAAATTGATGGATATAGTTAGGGTATATATGTTGCCAATCTCGAACTCGTGGAATTACACTGAATGCTAGATGGTTGGGAATTAATTGCTTCCATATGAGACTGAGGCGTAATTATAGTTGTTGTATTTCTGACCCTCTCTATCTAATTTAAATTACAGGTTTGAACTAAAAGATGCAGTACTTGAAGGTGGAGTTCCATTTGACAGGGTGCATGGTGTACATGCATTTGAATATCCAAAATTGGACCCAAAGTTCAATGATGTTTTCAACAAGGCAATGATCAACCACACAACTGTTGTCATGAAAAAAATACTTGAAAATTACAAAGGTTTTGAGAATCTCAAAACTTTGGTTGATGTTGGAGGTGGTCTCGGAGTTAATCTCAAGATGATTACATCTAAATACCCCACAATTAAGGGCACTAATTTTGATTTGCCTCATGTTGTTCAACATGCACCTTCCTATCCTGGTACCTTCATTCCTAATTCTTGTTTTATTGTTCTTTGATACTTTGGTTCAATGTTAGATTTATTTTACAAACCAATGGGTCGTTTGGTTTGCAAATAAGTTATACAAAGATTATAATATGAGGTTTAAATAATGACGAGATTATTTAATCGATAGATTTTCTAAAATGGTAGAGCTCTGTCAATTCCTCCTAACATGAACTGAATTTGTAATGATAAATATTGCAGGGGTGGATCATGTTGGGGGGATATGTTTGAAAGTGTTCCACAAGGAGATGCTATTTTTATGAAGGTAATGTCCAAATCTTTAGCAGAGGCAGTATTTATGTACCGTGCATATATTTGGCTTACATGTCGAAAGTTTTCTTTAATTTCTTAGAATTCATGTTCAGTCAAACACCTTCAAGAAACTTTATTCTGTACCTCACAAAACCGATGCAAGTTATGTAAGACTTCTTTTTGTTTCACAAATTAGCGGACCCAAATCCAAATACTTTTGGGTTCACAAACTTTGGGTTGACCAATTTGTGAAACAAAAAAAAGTCTTATACAACTTGTGTCAGCTGGAACTTAACTACTTGCATAGTCTTGCATTCCTGTTCTTCACCAATGGTATCTATAACCTGTGATTAACAAGGACATTATGTGTTTATTGATGAAAAGTGGATCCTTCATGACTGGAGTGATGGTCACTGCCTCAAATTGCTGAAGAACTGCCATAAAGCTCTACCGGACAACGGAAAGGTGATTGTTGTGGAGGCCAATCTGCCAGTGAAACCTGATACTGATACCACAGTTGTTGGAGTTTCACAATGTGATTTGATCATGATGGCTCAGAATCCGGGAGGCAAAGAGCGTTCTGAACAGGAGTTTCGGGCATTGGCAAGTGAAGCTGGATTCAAAGGCGTTAACCTAATATGTTGTGTCTGTAATTTTTGGGTCATGGAATTTTACAAGTAGATTTCCACAACCTACTTGGCTCTTATGATTATGTATTTTTATGGCACTCTGGGACTGGAATTTGTAACTTAGCCCAGCTTGAATGTTTGACATTGATTCCTAATAATATTTATATTACTACTTGTTTGTTTCTCTAGTTTGAGAGGATGTCATTGTAACTTTTGTCCAAATTTCATTGATATCCTAGTATTCCTAATATGTAATATTTATATATTCCCCAGTTCCATTTGATGTGATACCTTCATTTTTAGTTCATTTAACACTTTTTTTTGTATTTGGAAACAAAAATGCCATGATATGTTTAAGACCACGAATACTAAAAATCTTATTATTTCTTCTTAAACTTTGTGCCCGAAACACGTACTTAATATGAAATGGATGGAGTAATGGTATAGAAAGTCTCCACATCCACATACAGGCAGTTGGGACTAAAATGGCAACTTACTCTAGTATGATTAAAGTTTTTATGGCGGTTATTTCTGGACTGATCGCGTCCAATCCGAACCTGTCAATTGTACTAATCCATACGGTGCTGTCTAATTAGTAAAAGTTTGGTTTATAGTTAAGAAGCATTACAAGAACAGAGGAAGTACGATCAAAGAAAAGTTTTTCTTATATTTTTGTTTGAGAGGGTAACTTAAGCTTTTCTTATATATTTTATGAAAGGGTAACTTAGTAGTTTTTCTTATATCTGCCAACCATCATATAAGACTTGTTGAAGACACAATTCAGTAAATAAGAGTGTGCTATCTCAAACCATTAAGACATTTAGCTGAGATGATCGCACAATTCAACATGGTATCAGAGTAAGCAGAGGTCCTATGTTTGAGTCTCCCACTAACTATTATCAAAAAGAATTTGCTTTGCCAATGAAAAAGAAAAAGACATGCACATGAGGGGTATATGAAAGACATAAGTTAGTAAACGCTTTAAAGACATAACTTGTTCTCCACATTCGTGGGGAAGGAGAAGCTAAATGAATATATCTACGAGTTAATGATGTTTCTTGTTCATAGTTTTGTGGCAGACACTCCAACTAATTCCAATAAACTTATGCGTTCACAATGCAATTGTGTTTTGGCTCAAGAACAAAGATCCAAAAAATTGACTTATGTATGGAAACAGGATTACATGGTTGCTGCAGAATTTTGCATTTAGCTAGTACTGTTTTGCTGCCAATTCAGGAGAGAACATGCAGAAACATGATTTGGATTTACAAGTTTGTTTTTCTGTTTGGTAAACAAATTGATAGAAGATTTATGATTATGTATATGGGTTCTAGATTCTGAGGTGGATGTGTGGGCATAATAGAAAATAAGATTAGGAATCAAGATATCCGAGAAACAGTGAGAGTGGCTTCCTTGGTGGCGGTGGACAAGATGAGGGAAGCAATGTTGAGATGGTTTTGGTATATGAAGAGAAGTATATATGTCATTGTGAGGAGGTGTGAGAGGTTGGCAATGGTGGGTGTTCGGAGAGGTAGAGGTTGACCGAAGAAATATTGGGGGAGGTGATTAAAAAGGACATCTCGCATCTTGAGTTTACCGAGGACATGACCTTAGATAAGAGGGTTTGGAGGTCGCAAATTAGAATAGAAAGTTAGTTGGTAGTTGAGCATTCTCTTTCTTCCCTATGGGATAGGCTAGGTGGTCGTATCTCCTACTTTCTTGCCAATAGTACTAACACTATTCTCGTAATTTCTTGTTCTTCAATTGTTGTTGCCACCTGTGTTTCTTGTGGTTCAGTATCACATCATTTCGTTGTTGTTACTATTCTTTTTTTTTTTTTTTCATGTATGCTATTTACTGTTGTCCATGTCACATTATTTCATTATTGTTACTACTTTCATTTTCATATTTCCTTTTTCAAACTGCTTTGAGATGTTTTAGGAAACCACCGCTCTATCTCTACGAGATACGAGTAAGGTCTAGGTACACTCAATCCTACCCTACCCTACCCAGACCACATTTGTGGGATTACACTGGATATATTGTTGTTGTTGGGTTCTAGATTCTAATCTTTTTAAGTTACTGGGAGTAATTTGTACAAATTCAATTAACTTCAGAAACAAACATAGAGTTTGAGCCAAAGTTACTGGGTTCAGCTGAGCCCGTAGTCAACAATCTCCCTGCTAGGATGAGGCATTGCCTCTTAACGATTTGAATGTATAGCTATTGACTAAATAACCATAGTAACATGTTTTATTGTCCAAGTTCTTTTAAGCCATTGAATTACCAAAGATATGGATTTACTTGAAAGCATTGATATACATTAACTTCCAACTGCTAATGAAAACATATTGAAGGTGAGGAAATGAAAAGACAATATACAGATAAGCACATAATATAGACATAGTTCAGTTGGATTTTATTCTGTTAGAATAAAAAGATAGCAAAAGAACGAAGCAGAGTTTACATTTTGAAGAGCAAAGCTGCAAGATTGCTCAACTGAAATCTATTTTGATCATGTCTCTGCAGCAGCATCGGGACTCTGTTTCCGTTTAGCTGCTCCCAAGAATATCCTTGTACAATTCCTTGATCTTTACTATCAAAGCTTCTCTGTTAGCAGCAAAAGGTAATAAGAAGAGAGGTAAGGTAGGATGAACACAAAGGAATGAATAATAAACTTAGCTTCCACTAGTTCATATACAAAAAATCAGAAATTACCTGTCGGGTTTGAAGATCAAGTTCTTGTAGGCAAACCACTGCAGAGGAAGGGAAGATCCCCCAAAAACGTGTAAATGAGTTCAAGATAACATGGTGATCGATTATATAGTTCAAAGCTTAACCAAAAGAAGCATTGATGAAATCTGATGCTAATGCCTATGCAATATGGTTCAAAGAAAGGATTTAACTTAAGTGTAACGTTTATTTTTTACCCTATCAGTGTAATTATTGGTTATAGAGCATTCAGGTTACAACATACAGAGTAGTGGCTAAGAGTGAAAATATTTCAACTTACACCGGTGTAACCAATTCCTACAAGCTCAAGAACACCAGGAATCAAAGGAAGCCTGTCAATTGCCTGCCACAATTAAGCAAGTCCCTTTGTCAAGTTTGTTATAGTTTGCAACACCTGAACTAAAATGGAACTAAAAAAAGTGCCAAGTTAGCAATTAGTAGCAGTACCGAGATCACTCCAGTGGAGCTCCAAAGCAGAATAAATGCAGCAACACCCAATGAACTGACTGCGTACTTATCATCAACTTTGTCCCACTAAAAGAAGAAATCAGATAGGTATCAATATTCAGGGGGGATAAAATCAAGAAACAAGTAAAGTTGAAAAAGCTAGTAGTACGTATTATGTCCTTACAACTTCTTGAATTTTTTGGACAAGCTCTGATGGTAGCTCAGTGGTTGCCGTTTCAGCTGTGGCCTCTGCTGTGGCAACTTCTCCAGTTGATGTAGCCATTGCGGCCACATTCCTTGCAATCTTTCTACCTGCATCACAGCACATCCACATCAAGGAAATTACAAAGGTATGAAAGAATTTGAACATCCAACGTAAAACCTTAAGGCAATGAGTGAATGGAGTAGCCAACATTCTCTAACAAAAGACACTATTAACTTTTTAGTATAAACTACAAGTTACTTCGTCCAATCTAATTTATACATTCTTTCTGAATGCTTGATCCAGTCTGTTTCTTTACGACTTATACAATTTCAAACTAACTTTTGTTATAAATTGTCCTATAATACAACATAAACAAAACATTTTAAAAACTATGTTATCAATGGAGCAGCCCATACAACAGAGAAGCTACTTCCTTATTATAGGATTGGAAGATCCTCCGTCTATTGCATAGCAGGTAATTGAACTAGCACTCTCTTCCTGGTCTATCAGATTAACTAGTTTTAAGATAATTGACTGTCTACTATCTATGTCATGCCTTGGCCAGTGAATATTATTTGCAAATCAATGTTCGGTTGTGCATCATTTCAATTTTAAGAAGAAATGGCTCAACATAACCAGTGGTGTTATAATGTTACTTACAGTAAGCAGTGGTTCTGGCAGCACGGCTTTGAACGGCCGGCGGCGGCGGAAGGGTGGGTAGTGTCACACATTGCGACGATGCCACGGCAGTGGACTGACGAGTTGTCTTGCCGTCGACGAGGGTCGATGAAGAAGAGAGAGAAAGTGAAGGGGAAGTTGTAGAGGCCATTTGCTTCTCACTTAATTGAAAATCAAAAACTCCCAAAATAAAAAAAAATAGTAAACAAGATTTCTTTTCCTGATGAGTACCAAATAAATGGCTAATTTTTGAATTTTAAGAAGAAAATATTACGTATATCTTTTCTGAAAAAATAAAATTTGGGATATTTTGAAAAATATTTATTGTCAATAGTGAAATGTAAGATTTCTTGGAGCTCTCAAAAGTATTAAGAACCACCCATTTATGCCTTTGTGGGATGAACCCTATCATCATCTGCTTTGGATAGGGAATTTATGGTGCTATTTCATTGGACATTTGGGTTTTCTTAAATGTACTTGTTTGATATTATTTCTATTTAGATTTTATTTTTTTTTAAAAAAAGATAATGAGATTTTGCTTAATTACGAAACATAGTTTGTACGCATAATAATAGTGAACGTGTATTAGTGTCTATACAATATCTATGTAATAGAATATGACCTAATTCATGTGCATAATAAATTAATAATAGTGAACTACACTATGTTCGTGTACATAACAAGTGTATTCGCACGTATATAATATTTTTGTAGCGAATATATTGTATTCACAAGCATAATAATAATAAAATACATTGTATTTATATGTATGATAAGTATATCTACACATCTATAATATTGAAAAAACTACATAATTAGTCATACTTCACTACTATATATACTATAATTATTTATACTTTTAAAATATTATGTATATTACTACTAATCAAGAGTTTTTTACATATCTTACACTTAGAAACATGTATTTTTGCTACCAGATACACAAAAATAAGGAGAGACGAGTGAGATTGAGGAGGAAGGCGAGCGAAATTCGTAAGTATCACATATGAGAATCACATTAGAACACACTAGACACATGTATTTATATGTAGCTGAAGTGATTCACATGTATCTAGTATGTAAGATACATGAGAGAATGGCGAGCAAGATGAAAGAAAGACGAGTGAAATTTGCTATCTATTTTCTGTTATAAATACAAGAGCCACGAGGCAACAACATCTATCTTTTGAAGTAAGAATTTGAATTTGAATTCAATCTTTAAGATTTTAATATTGAACCTATTAGATTTTTAAAATTATAAATTTACACCTACTATTTGTTACAATTTTACTTATAAAAATAACTAAATTCATGAATCAAAATAATGAATTCAGAAGTGTTGAAAAAGAAACAAACTAACCCTCCAACATTTCAATAGCATAATAAACTTTTAAAAAAAGAGTAGACTTATTAAAGAAAAGCTCACTTTAATTTGTAAAAAGAAGAAGAGGCACTAATTGAAACTTTGCTTACAAATTAAAGGGTGGCTGGAATGAGAACATACAACTATGATTACAACATTGCAACTTTTGATATAAGAAGAAACAAATCTCCAAGTTCATAGTACACACTTAAGTCTCTTTTATTCTCAAAAAAAAAAAAAAAAACTTCATAAATCAAGTTGACAATCTGGAGAACCAAGCAAAGGAACTTGACCCATAAATCCCTTTTTGTACCCAACCAACATGTCACATTTGACATAAACTTCATAGTGTTTAGTCTTTACAATTCCAGCTTTATATCTCATTTTCCCCATAAGAACTAGTCTCAATCCCACAACTCCATAAACTTCATCTATCAGTAATCCATTTGCTACTTCCACCGACACAGGTACCGATGCACCTCTTATCAACGACGATAATATCACCGTGCTTTTTGTTTTCTGAAATTAAATACGTCCAAAATTAACTCATGGTTCTGTGCGAGCCTTGGCTAGGGATTTATTCACGGTATATATACATATATACACAATGATTATATGCAAATATACAATAATTATATGGGCGAAAACAACTTGTATTCCCTCCGTCACAATAAAAAGTAAAGTCTTATTTATTTTGGTAAATTTTGTATCAAGTCAAACTCAGACAAATAAATTGAAACGGATAGAGTACCTGAAATAAAGGTGGAAGCACCACTGGAGGTGTAATTGCTTGACCCTTGTAGTAAACAATAGCTGAAAATTGGCCATAATCTAATCTAACTCTCCTATTTGGATTTCTTGCCAACACTGTGAATTGCATGGTGGTTGACATATAAGGAGGGGATGTTACATTTAAATCATATATGGCAGCACCAACTAGACTAAAATTTGGCTTGTGGGGTCTATAAACTAGCCATAATATGAGCACAACAAGGCCAGCCAAGATGACTAAAATTAACAAGAAAGTGCACAAAGTTTTGGCTGGACTTCTTGTAGGTGATGATGGATATTTTCTTGGATCATTAGAGGATGGTAAAGGAGAAGGTTTTTGAGGATAACCAACACTTTCATTTTGAATCTTTTGTTGGTCATAATCACTCATTTTGTCTTAATTAATATTCTCTACAAATTAATTAGTTCCACTTAGAACTTGCTTGATGCTTCTTAAGTCGATGTTGACCTGTATATAAGTTTTACATATCGAAAAAGAAAGTAAATTTTCCCAATTAATAAAAGCACTAACTAGTAACTAGTAGAAGAAGATTTTATAAATTAAAAAAAAAAAAAAAAAAAAGCTCACCTCAAAATTTCTTCTAGCTAATCTTGTATACTTGTCTTAATTTTCTTTTCTTTTGCTCCAAACATTAAGTCATTTGTGCTTTTTTAAGTCGATGTTGACCTGTTATATAAAGTTAGATACATGATAAGAAAAGAAAAAGACCTCATTAATGTAACCACTAGAAAAGAAAGAAAACTATAAGAGAGGCTTACATGAACAATAAAATGATCAAGTGTAATTAAAACCAACAACAAAGTGTTTGAATTGTTAATTGAGTGATAGTGGTGAGAAAAGGTGGAATAAAAAGATAGAATCTATGAAAGAAAAAAAAGAAGGGAATTAGGTTCTCTCTTTGCTAGTTGTTTTCAATGCAAATTCTTTTGTTTTTTGTTACTTTAGCTTAGGAAGAAGATTCTTGGCTAGTAGCTGCCGACTAATATGTAATTTTGTTTTATGTGTAACGGTGGAGTCTTATGATGTGATGACACCTAGAAAATGGAATTGCTATACATTTGTCACCATTTTTGCTACTTAGTTTCATGACATTTGGTTTTGGAGTTGCCGTGGATGATCATTTTTTAAGTTAAAAGTGTTCAATGATACAACGGAGACAAGTTCAGTTAGTCTAAATGTGCATACTCAAAATTAATGTATTTACTTGCTAGTTATAACCAAATTTGAATTTTTGTTCATGGATTATGCCTTTATTGGAACAATAACAATAATAACATATACTTAATTTAATCTCATAAGTAAAATTTTAAGAGAATGAAGTGTTTCCAAATCTTTCTCCTACCTTTGTGAAATAGAGAGGTGGTTTCCGACAAAGCTAAGTAGAGATTTTTTTTTTATGTATATTTGAAATGGTAAATACTGTATTAAAAACATGAAGAATTCTCCTTTAAATATTCTTGTGCAACTATATATTTACATAATAGACAAATCAAATGAATTCTCAAGTGCCTTGCCCAAACTACAAATACTTGCAAAGTTCACCATTAAACGTTTCAAACTCTCTCAAATGCAAGACAAGTTTCACCTACTAAGCTAAGTACATAATAAACCAATAACTAAATAAAAATTGAAACATCTTGGGTTGCAACTATCATCAATCCCCTAATTCTCAGGCTTACAAGACATACACACATAACACAACACAAAAACTACAAACTTGTATATCTATCTTAATGGCTATGCTACATTAATTTGCCTAAAAACTATTTTTTTTCTCATTGATGGACTATTCGCATTTCGTCTTTGTCCTTAGGCTGAGTTCCGTTTTGTAGCTGACGAACAAACTGTCCTTTCACTCGTGGTCGCTGCTCTGCAAGTCTTTTCCTGCTTTCGTATCGAACCTGTGCAAAAATGATATCAGTATAATGAAGGACAAAAAGAAGATACTTAACTAAATGTTGGCTACTTCTGAATAGTTTTGTAGTTATGTCTACTATTTGATCATTCAAGCATATGAAAGGTCAAAAACCAATAGTAATGGCATTCGTTTCCACTAAACTACCTAGAATATAGAGATTAGTTAACGCTGTACTCATTTAAAATTGATGCAATATATCTAAGTTGAGTAATGGCACTAGCAACGACAACAACAACATACCCAATGTGGTCTCATAAGTGAGGTCTGGGGAGGGTGGGGGTACCTAGACCTTACTTCTACCTTTGTGGGGTAGAGAGACTGTTTGCAATAGACCTCAGGTCAAGAAAACGGTTTGAAGAAAATAATAAAGGCAGAAAAGTATTGGCAGGAAAAAAGTAAAGATGACCAAAGTAAAAGAAACAGTAGTAGTAATAGAATTGAAGAATAAGATAATGGCACTAGCACTAAAGTTATATATACCTTTTTCTCATAGCACCTATCCTTCCGTTTTAACCGAAACTTCATGAGTGCTGCTTCCCTTTGGCTGGTGCTGTGATTCTCTGATCTTGTCTTATCATTGTAATTCACACTCTCAGAAACAGGAGCTCTCTCTGGACTTGCAACTGGAAAGGAACTTTCTACAGCTTCATCAGAAATACTTCCACAATGAGAGCTACTGAGCTTATTTTTCACGCCACTTCCCAAATCACTAGATTCACAAATTGGAATATCATATCTTGCCTTTTCAACTGTTACTAAATTTCTGTTATCTTCTTCTTCCGCATTATCCTCAGAGTGAACTGTAGTATCATCAAATGGTTGTTTGTAATGCTCCATATTTTGACCTTCGGAAGTTGAATAAGTCAAAGAACTTGTTGGAAGTGTAGACTGTGATCGAGGGCTGTGTACTTGTTGAGAACCTGATTGTGTATTGTGCACTGAAGCATTTATGTGAATGTCACTGGCAGCCATACTTCCAAACCTTACCTTGTCAACTGGAATGAAGCTTACTTGGTTGCCCGATAGTGATACTTTACAATTTCCCGGTTGGCGCATAACCAGAGCTGTTTCGTTTTCCTGACTCTCAGTCAATGAAGCATCATGCTGCCAAGTAGAGGCACTAGAGCCTTCCTTTAATGGAGCTGAATTGCTACTCAATCCAGAGAAAAGAGGTTGCACCGTCATCTTATTTTCATATCTGACATAAAAGAAGGTTTAGTCAATTTTCAGATAGCATCTGGAAACTAATTTAAGCAGTTAAGGTATTTCGTAAGATAGTTTAGGCAGATAAATTACTATATTATCTCAATTGTTCACACTGCAAGGTACTGCTGTCCTAGTGTTCATATATAGGTATAATATACTCACGTCTTTTCACAGAGAAGACATGCAGAGAAACACATTCGATTGGACTTGTAACTAGAGGGAGGGAGACCATCAAGGATATGAGAAGCCTTGGTAATATTTCAAAAAAAGATTATCAGCCTGAAAGCAATAAATAACTAAACTAGCAAATAAGGGCATCCTGAGTATTCTTTTTTCGTGACAAGGTAAGATAATTTCATTAAAACTGTGACGTTGTAAGTAGAAGGCATCATTACACACTCTAAGTCACCTTTCATTACACTCAAAACAGTAAAGGTGAATTTCCAATCTTGATCTTTTGGGGTTTCAACTTAAAAGTGCTAATAAAGAAAGATGAGTAGCTACGTTTAACGTGAATACAAACAGTTATACTTTGACTTGGTTTAGTATATCTTAAATATAAGAATTTAATAGCGGTTCTTACCATATACCACAACAAGATAATAATATTCAGCCTCAAAATATTTCCTGGACAAAGAATTACTACACTTTTACAGCATATATCTGGTTGTCCCTTGTGTTAGTTTTGTACAATAATTTCTTCCTTCATGCTATCGATAAAATTAATAACCTATCACGATATACAAGTATTACATGCATTCACTATGGTTGAGTAGATAGTGAACTCCTTAAGAGATACCCATCCAAATCTTCAAATTTTCCTGGGCAGTGGTTTGGTCATTAATTAGAGCTAGAAACAAAAACACACACATAAAGGCCTTCAAATTTAAATATACTGCACATTCTTCGTAAATTTGATACTTTCTAGATGTTGATTTCTGAAATAGCCATGAATAGAGTCAGGGATGAGCAACAGAAAGGAACAACGCCTACCATATAGCTTCCTAAATGGATGTCTTATACTAGTTTTCTCCCTACTGTATAATATGCATGAACGGCCCTGCCACAAGAATTGCATCACAACTGTCATAGAGAAATTGCTACTACCATAAGCTATGTAGTGTGACTAATTCATGAAGAGAATAAAGAATTTAAACTTAATTGGTTCAACCTTTAAATTTTTACAATTGAATTCATTGCACTACTGAATTTATGGTTTCATAAATTAATAATTGTTGAAATTTTAGTAATTTTTCAAATGTTTATTTACACTCTTATCTCAAAATACTGGGTTAAAAGTGAACCCAGTAAAACAGGCAGCATCCCCTGATAAAGAATTGTCACAAATCTCAACTTGCTGCAACAGCAGTATGCAGTAGTTGAAATGTGGCTACTCACTCTATTTACACTTTTTTGTGTTTAAAGAGAACAAATATTACTATCCTACAGAGACAATGATACAATTTTGGGGCACTCGTCCCGATGGAGAACTGTTCCTTCATATTTGAGGAATCCGCTAAGCAAAGAGGACAATTCAACAATAGAATGCCAAAGAACAGAAATGCAAAACTCACTTAGAAAAGGCGGATGCTTTTGAATGACTTATCATGTTCTGCTCCCACGACGCTTCATCGTTTAAGCAACTGGGATTAAAGGTTCTCAAAGAAAGATCCAGCCTGGAAGCGAGATTTGATTTTTCTCTACTGTCATGAGAATGGCCGTCACTGTGAGCCAAGTAATTTTCAAAATTCCCCATCAAGTCAATAGCTTCAGCAGTATTAGGAGCAGAATAGAGTTCATTCAACTGGCAATCAACTTCATCAGCAGTACACGTATTTGCACTAAAACATCCATGCTGCACTTCATCAGCCGTAACCCTTGGTCCAGCACAAAGAGTGGCATCTTCTGAACCAATAGCAACTGAGCTGTCAGGTGTAGTGCCGGAAGAAGTTCCCATTCCAGAGTTTGTCATGTTTTCTACATATGATAGTTTGTCAGTTCAAATCTTAGACATATAACTCCGAAATTTGATAGAAGAAGGATAGCTCGCCATACCTAGTGGTTTACTTTCTGGCATAAATGATCTTTCAACACATTCTTCATGTCTTCCATCGCTGCACATATTTGAATCATCTTTATGTCTAATATCTGTAACGCCCTGCATATTTGGCATACACACACTATCAGCTAACAAGAAAGGCATGGGACAAGAGTTATGCACAACAGTTGGCAAAATATGTCATCTCTATGTAAACCCGATGAAACCAGTCTAATCTAAAAATACGTTCTTCTTTACATGGTTTCATAATGCATCATTATCATA